GCCCTTCCCGACGGCCGCGCTCACGTTCCCGACATTCGCGACATTCGTGACACCCGTGACGCCCGGGGCCGCGTTCGGGGCCGGATTTGGGGCGAAAAGCGGCGGATTCGGGGCCGCGTTGGGGGCCGGATTTGGGGCGAAAAGCGGCGGATTCGGGGCCGCGCCGCTGGGGTTGATGCGCTTCTCCTTCTGGCGGCGGTTGCAGAACCAGACGCGGATCACCTCCTTCTCCATGTGCAGCTGCTCCGCCATGCCCAGGATCTCCTCCGACGTCGGCTTCTGGTTCTGGTTTGGGGCGGAAAAGGGGGAAATCGGGAAAATTTGGGGTGAAAAAATGGAAATTTGGGAAAAAACGGTGAAAAAATGGAGGAAAAACGGTGAAAAACGGGAAATTTATAGGGGAAATGACAGGGGAATCACCCAGGATCTCCTCTGACATCGGTTTCTGGTTCTGGGGTGAAAAAGGAGGAAATCGGGGAAATTTGGGGTGAAAAAATGAAAATTTGGGAAAAAACGGTGAAAAAATGGCAAAAAATGGGAAATTTATGGGGAAGTTATGGGGAAAATCGCCCAGGATCTCCTCCGACATCGGCTCCTGGTTCTGGGGTGAAAAAGCGGGAAATCGGGGAAATTTGGGGTGAAAAAATGGAAATTTGGGAAAAAACGGTGAAAAAATGGCAAAAAATGGGAAAAAATGGCGAAAAAAACTACGAAAAATGGGAAATTTATAGGGAAGTTATGGGGGAAAATCAGCCAGAATCTCCTCCAATGCTGGCTTCTGGTTCTGGGGTGAAAAAGCGGGAAATCGGGGAAATTTGGGGTGAAAAAATGAAAATTTGGGAAAAAACGGTGAAAAAATGGCAAAAAATGGGAAAAAATGGCGAAAAAACGACGAAAACCGGCAAATTTATAGGGGAAATGACAGGGGAATCAGCCAGGATCTGCTCCGATGTCGGCTTCTGGTTCTGGGGTGAAAAAGCGGGAAATCGGGGAAATTTGGGGTGAAAAAATGAAAATTTGGGAAAAAACGGTGAAAAAACGGCGAAAAATGGGAAAAAATGGCGAAAAAACGACGAAAACCGGCAAATTTATAGGGGAAATGACAGGGGGAATCGCCCAGGATCTCCTCCGACGTTGGTTTGGGGCGAAAAAGGGGAAAAAATGGCGAAAAATGGGAAATTTATGGGGAAGTTATGGGGGGATTTTGGGGGAATCGCCCAGGATCTCCTCCGACGTTGGTTTGGGGCGAAAAAGGGGAAATTGGAAAAATTTGGGGTGAAAAAATGGAAATTTGGGAAAATTGGGGGGAAAATGGAGAAAAAATGGCGAAAAATGGGAAATTTATGGGGAAGTTATGGGGGAAATCACCCAGGATTTCCTCCAATGTTGGGTTCTGGTTTGGGGTGAAAAAAGGGGAAATTGGGAAAATTTGGGGTGAAAAGATGGAAATTTGGGAAAATTGTGGGGAAAAAAGGCGAAAAAAGGCAAAAAATGGTAAAAAAATGGGGAAAAC